TTCTACCATTACTCCTAACCTATTTACTACAAACTCTATAGCACTAAAAAGAAGTGCCTGGGTGCTTAGCAAAATTAAAAGTACACCAATTATAGGGAAAATACAAAAAACATTTAATACAAACAATACAATACACATAAAACATTATTAAATGCCACCACCTAAACTATAGCACAAAGCACCACTTACTAAATGCTTCAATGCAAATATACTTGCACTGCTAATACTATCCAGTAATGCATAATCATACTTACTACACCTCAGTGTATTGTGATTAAAGTATCTAGCTCTAAGGTCCTTTGAACAGATATCAATGACCTAATACAGCATCATTCTAAACTTAATATAGTCTCCTTTACAGCTAAAAAAGAAAACCTCACCTTAATACTTATTTACTACCTTAGTTACTTACCAAAACTCACAACTACCTACCACCTCAATGACTCAAAACAATTTGCTATACCAATATTCCTATCAAGTACTGCTATTACACAACTATCTTACCTTACAACAATTAACTTACAGGTCAAAAAACTCCAACTATATCTTTATGCAACAATAACTCAAGCAAATACACCATATCACAGATGCAATACACCTAGACTCTTACACCAACTAATATAACATTCTTATCTCAAATCACATATTGGCCTTCTACAACACATGTATACCTTATTGGAATTATAACAATTTTAATGATAACTTCACAGAATTGTCAAATAACAGTTCATATAACTCACAAACCAACAATTACTACATTAATTCCCTTCATGCACCAACACCAAATTCTACTCTTACTCTTCAAAAGTACTATTACAGACTATAATTGCCTGCAAAGGTACCAAAATTAAAAGTATCTACATTGAGAACCCTGATAACCATCCTTTATATAATAGGACAACCCATCTGCCTACCAATATACAACAATACAAACTGCACATTCAACCTTATGCACTTGACAATAACAATTTCTACCTTATCTGAAACAATATACTAATTGAAAACAAATCCATCATTTTATTAGACACTTGCAAAATGCAACAAATACAGCAAAATGGCATGCTTCCAACAGAACTAAACATTGGAATAATATTTGTAAAGATATCAACTGGGACTTAACACACAAATTTCTTAACTATAACAACAAACCTAACACCCACACTACTCATCTCAAACACTCATGATTAAAAAATTTCAAAATTAAATTTCTACTAGATGAGCTACTAACTTTATTAAACCTACACTACAGAAAACCTAAAACATATACCAATCCTACCTGCAATCATTGCTCTATGCATATTGAAAACAACTTTTACTGACTCGAATGTACAGCAAATCCTATATCTTTAGATCAAGTAATCCAACAAACTACCTTTAAATTCCTTACTAAAAACAAAATAGAACTACAAAATATATTAACCTTATTACAACAATTCTTTCAAACATCAAACAACATACATAATCTTCTTAAATTGCAAGGATTAATTCCAAACAACCCACCTGCAACTTGCAATATTAATTCAAACATGCTTGTTATTCTATTTTATAAAATATCAAATAATATTTACAAACAAATATGAACAGAAAGATGCAAAGCCATGCATTAAAATAATCTACTAACAAATACACTCACAATTACAACTCTAGAACACTCAGCCACAAACCAAGTAGCTATAACAAAATATGAAAAATAGACAACTATTTTTTCTACTACTAACATATCTACATTTTACATTGCAACACTAAACCTAGAAGAGATCTGACAGCCTATTCTAGTAGAGTTTTGGGCTAAGAATAAATTAGTCCTAGCTATAGGTCCATGTAATAATTTATGTAACTTATTTTTATTAATGTGATACCAAATTGTTCAATAAAGACTAAGGCCAGGCCTCACTCTATAATAAAATATATATATATATATATATATATAATTAATAATATTATAAACTATTAAATTAATAACAACTATTCAAAACTAAATAAGTTTTAATCACTCTAGTAGGTTTAGATTACAGATAAATTAAATAATATTTAATAATTATCTATACTATATTTATAGTCTAAATTTTATTTTTGTATAAAAATTTATAAATTTTAACTTCAATTAAAAAAACCTTTAGTAGTTTTTAAATACATACAAATTACTAATAAATATAAAGATAAAACCTTAATATTTTTTTAAAAAATAAGTATATTTTAAGTATTAAAAATGAATTTGTGATTTTATATCTATTAATATGCTTAAACTCTCCTTTATAATTTATTAATTTATATTTTTTTAAACTTTTAATTATAAATTTCTTAAAACATATATTAGTAAAAAAAATAAATATTCAATTTTAAAAACAGAAAAGTAATATATATTAATATAATAAAGATATTTTAATCCTAATTTACAGACTAGTTTTAATAATTTTTCTAAATAGTAAATTTATTTATATAAAATAAAAAACTATATACAGTTATTATATAATCTAAAAAAATATATTTCTTATCTATTTAGTATTGTCAAAGATAAAACTATTATGCTAAAAGATTTGCAAAGTGATTATCATAGTAACATACTTATCTAATTGATAATGTTCATAATAATCTACTTGAAACATGTATACCTAATCTCAAGAAAACTATATGATAGTATACAAGTCTTAATGCAGAACTCTATCATCCCTTTTAATTAAAAAAAGGTTAACTTGTTCACACCACTATAACTAAAAATGAACTTAGATCCCATTTTACCTTACTTGGGTTAAATGTAAAACAATGTCAAGAGGGATATGATTGTAATAATTATGTTGGGTCTTACTCTGGAACAAATGATATTAAAACATTCTTATCAGTTCTATAAAGAACATAAGAATATTAAAATAATAAAAACTGTATCTATAAAAAGATCAAAAACTATATCAAAAATACTTGAAATTTGATAAAAACAATCAAAAGAATCATGGTCTTTATATGCTTTTCTCATGACAATTCATTATAAAAAAAAATTAAATTTCTTTTTCTTGAAAAGTAGTTCAGAATAGTACAGACAATCCTATAGTTCTATATAGTTTAGTAATTGCCAAGTGTGCTCATATAAATAAATAAAATCATTAATAAAGTTTTCCTGAATCTGACAATTATAATATATATTTTCCAGAATTTTTATACTTATCTTATAATGCTTCTTAACCGATCACCTTGACCTTGTGCCAAATTGTAAAACTGCCTCTATTATCTTTGAAGAATAATATGTAACATAACCATTTTTCAAGTGACAATCTGTTGCATTTGCCTATCTCTGAACTCAACCAATTAACCCATAACAGTATTAAGAATGAATCTAATTGTAACAACCTGTTATGCACTTATTTGTAACAACTCAATTAGTATAACCAATAAAAATAACTAAAAGTTTGTGTATTCCAAACTATAACTCTAACTACTATTGACTAATCTGAGGTTGTTATATGAAACAAATTGTTATGAGATCATTTATTCTAACATCAATTATAAAAAATACTGTAACTCAATAAATTCTCTATAGACTGGTAACCTATAAAGTTTTAAAAGATTAAGTTTGTTTTTGCACCATCATACTCATGCTATTCTATTTAACATAACCTTTAACATTTTGGCTACTTTGATCCTGTTGTTAAAGTAATGAAAATGTTGATGTTCATTTGGAGAGCCACATATCTTTGCAATGGCAAATTCTATTTTTAAGGGCTTAGTAACCCAGACAATATCTATTTTATGACTATTGCTACAATTCTCTTTACATCTTTTTTTAAATCAAAATTTTCTGCGGAGGCAAACAATTTCTTTTCTTAACTAATAATTTTTAATTTATGAAAAAACTTGTTAAACAACCTTAATGGTTATTAAAAAGGTTATAATTTTAAAAATATTTTAAGGAAAGTTAATAATTTAAATCCAAATTTTAAGGCTCCGAACTAGAGTTAATATTTCAATCCATTTTTATTATAAAAAATTCGGATATTATATCTGAATTACTTATTAAAACATACCATTAAAGCAGTTTCCAGCAAACAGAAATTGCTCGTTTATAATTAAGCTGTTAAGTAACCATGAGTTATCAATTTGAAAAGTTATATATGATTTTAATTCGTCCGGAGCGTAGCGAAGAACTCTATTTTTCTGTAAAGGTTTGTTGTCCGGCCACATCACGTGAAGATCGTCCAATCAAATAATAACACATATATATAGTATAGTAAATGTAATATAATTTAATATTCGCTCCGGACATACAATGCTATGCATTTACCTAGTTATAAAGGTACGATAATGCAGGGTAAAAGTATCCAAGATAGTACGTTCCACCAAGTGAAAACCAGGAAGTCTAAATATAGAATAGTATTAATTTTATATTAATCTACATTTAGATTTCTTGGCTTTCACTCTATCAAGGCATGGTTTATTGGTTGGCAGGTACCGTACTATTCCGAAATTAAGTACCTCTTTTTTGCCAAAATTTCATAATGCAGGCCAAAATTTGTATAGTGCAGCCAGGGGTAATTAATTTCGTGGGTGCTTAATTTCGGTACGGTACGGTAATATATATGAATTACTTGATTGTTATACAAAAAGAAATATCATTGTATAAATTATGCGTATTTTGAACTAAAATGTAACTGATTTTTTTGGTTAGCTGATTTAAACCAATCAAAATCAACATGAATTCTCCGAAATTTAGTTTGTTGCAATTGTTTATAACAAGATGCACCACTAACGCTAACACTAAATAATCTATAATTATGGTTCGCACCTGTATCACTAAAAACATGATCTCAAGTTATTAAAATTATGCATCACAAAATGTTCTTTTATGGTTACATTGAGATGAAAACTTTCCCAATATTTGTAAATATGAAAACAAGAAAGCGGAAATTTGTAATTCCGAAAATTTTCTTTTCACAAAGGTAATACGATAAAACCATTATAAACGACACGTAAACTATAAGTTATTATCAAAGCTCTCATGCTGCTTCAAAATGTTCTTTCAAACCATTGCATCATTCATTACTGTTGATTATCTTCTCATTATTTTCTTAACACTCTTTTCATACCTAATTCGTTTTTACTATAATCATTTCACCCGTCCAAATCCTCTTCCTGGTCCTCTACCATTACCATTCGATCTAGAGGTATTTTTTCAATTTTTTTTTTTTTGATAAAAAAATTTTTTTAACAATTTACTAAAATATTTACAGAATTTCTTTTATGGCAATAACTTCAAACTCATTGCTTCAAACTTGCAACAAAAATATGGTGACATTTGCGAATTTAGATTGGGTGGTTATAGAAGAATACTTCTTTCTCGAACTGATTATTTCGATAATTTATTAACCTCTTCGACAAAGAGTTCAACATTGTTCGCAAAACATGAGTATACGCATGGCATGGATGAACTTGGAGTTTTTGGGAAAGGAATGTTTTTTAATAGTAATTACGAGACTTGGAAAATTAATAGATATCTTTTTTCCCAGTCAATATCAACTCCTGGTTTCAATGACGAAGTTATAAAGCAAACTAATGATTTATTTAATGAGTTGGACGGTTATTGGAATTCACTTAAGAATTCTAATTCATCTAATGATGCTGATTCTTGGTTTGAAATGGACTTTTTGCCATGGATAAGTAGATTTTCCAGTGATATCTTATTCCCTTTAGCAATTGGTGAACGTGCTTATTCTATGGCATCATATTATAATTCTTTCAACTCTAATGAAAATTCTTGCTTTGATACTTCTAAATTATATTATTCTGACAAATTCAACAGTGGAATTGTAAATTTAATTCGAGGAATGATAATCTTTCAACTTGTTAATCCTTTCTTAAGACGTCATTTACCAATACTTAAGGATAAAGTAAATGCGGTTTTAGCTTATAGAGATTTCATATTTAAATCATTGGACAATATCATTGAAAAGAGAAAAATCGATCTTGCAAAGACTCCTCAAAAATTTAAGTCAAAGCATGACTTGCTAACTTTTCTCCTTACTACTCATAATGATGCCAATGAAATACCTATAAATGATGATGTAATTAGGCCCATCTTACTTGATGCTTTCCTTGCTGGATCTGATACGGTATGTTTAATTCAATTTAATTTAATTACTGTATTATTTCATCATTATTTACATTTGCCCACTTCTTTTTATACAGACTGCAAACCTATTATGTTATATAATTTATTATATTTGTCATAATCCACATGTAAAACAAAAAATGTTTGATGAAATCGATTCAGCTTTTCCTAATGATTCTTCTGACATACCATATATGAATACTGATATTATTGCAAAACTTAAATATTGTGAAGCAATAATTAAAGAAACTTCTCGTGTAATGCCAGTGACCGCTGTATCAAGGAGAGTTGCTGTTAATGAATGTGAGGTTGCTGGATACACATGGCCGGCTAAAACTATATTTCACCTAAATTATGCTAGTATTCATCTGAATGAAAAGTATTGGGAAAATCCTAATGTTTATAATCCAGATAGATTTTATCAAAAAAATAATTTGAATGAATTTGAAACCGATTTAGATAGTATAGCCAAATATTCATTGGTTATTTTTGGTGGGGGCACAAGAATTTGTCCTGGAAGAAAGCTTGCAATAATTAATATGCTCTCATTTATGGCATTAATGTTTAAAAAATATGATGTAGAATTGGTAGATATGCAAGCGCCATTAAATACTTATACTACATTCATGACTACTTGTCAAGGTTTAAAAATCAAAATCAAACCTAGAAAATCATCATCATCATCATCATCATCATAGTTTTATCCATCATAATTTATCATTTATTTATTTAAAGATATTATTGTATTATTACATCTTAAATATTTTTTATTGTGTGCAAAGATTTATCGTTAGCGTAAAATTTGTACTTACAGATTAAGTTATTACTCAACGTTTATTTGAAATGTATATTTTTTTTTACATCTTAAAGAAATTCATGTTTATTTATGATGAAAATTTTATATAGAAATTTGTCAAATAAACTGCAAATATTTATTCGCAACGATGACATTAATCTCCTACACGTGACTTACAAAAATTTGTGTCGAAGTTAGAACTGTGATTAAAATGAATTAATATAAGGCATTCAAATTTTTTAAAAAACCATTTTTTTTTTTTGTATAGAAAGTTCCTTAATAGTTTTGCGCGATGTGTGCGACAACTATCATTACCGGTTAAAAAATTACTCCTAGTAATATTTAGTATATTGTTTTTTTCTTAAATAAATATTGCTGAAGTTAAAATTGTTGCATACCAAGAGTATTTTTGTTTCAATTAATTAATGGTACGGTGCTATGACAGTATTGATAACTCAAATCTAGATCTTTAAATTTCAATTTATAAAGAATACAATTATTATTGTTTAATAACTTTATTAAAACACAGCAGAATTACATAAGTATCTGTTTACTATCATTACAGACTCTACATCTTATAATTAAAATATAAATCCCTAATGAACCCGAATTAATTGTCATAAATCAAATTCTAATATATTGATACTATAATAAACTATAAGAAGCAAAAATATAATAATAAATAGTTATCAGGCAGGCACTGCCTGATAACTGATTTATTACATCTACGTTAAACGACTTATCTTTCATCCGGTGTGCAACATATAAAAAATCATTTTACAATACCAGATCATTCCGCTAGTACATGTTATGATTATAATCCCACCCCATTTTATTATAATAAAAATGGGGTAGGATTATAATCATAACTTGTACTAGCGGTATTGTAAAATGATTTCTTTATATGTTGCACACCGGGTGAAGGATAGTCGTTTAACATCGACGGTTCCTCCTGTTTGGTTTATTTGGTCGATTTAAAATCAGACTAAGAAATTGAATTCCTTCCGAATTCAATTTATTAGGCTAACCATAAAATTCTTGATCAAATATTAAGCTATAGGCAGTATCAGCATGCCTAATAACGGGTTTATCCGTCGGCTTATTATGATTTTCTGCCCAATAATGGGCAGATGCAAAGTAATAAGATTATTGAGCAGATAAATTATAGTAAGCTGCCGGATAATTAAACATACCGTGTCAGATCTATTAAAGAATGATTGATAATAAAATTGATTAAATAGACATTAACATTTGCTTTTGGCATCTTTAAGTTAATTAGTCATGCTTCGATTTTCCTCTTTTAATAATATAGTTGGATGTTTTAAATATAACTTTCCATTTTCTAAAAGAAATGTTCTATGCCCTTGATTAATGGAGCATAAACGTTTCAAGAGTTGATGAACAAAACAAATAAATATTATACATTTATGTATGATATAATTGCTTTGGTAAATTTATCAGAGTAATGCGATTAGAATTATCAAACGAGAGCCTTCAATGGAGTTGAATATGATGCATAGAGTAGACTTGTTTCGTTTATCATAATCTCTCCCTCTATTTTTACTAATCAAATCGCAGTATTGACTTTATATATATTTTTTACAGGCAATAGAATTGTTGTATTTTTTTTTAATTTGTGTATTTTTTATACCCCACTCTTAGGAACTATTATGTTATGCTCAACGAAGAATCAATTTGGAGTGGACTAAGGCTGATCTATTTATCCACAGTGATTATTATCAGATGATCTAGAACGAATTTCAGTATCTGTTTACCTCTTTGAATGATTTATTAATATGTTTTATGATTTAATTAATGAAACCAGAAGTTGATATTAACTATGAGAAAAGATATTTATTATCTTCAGGTAAGGGTTGAATCAAATTTAAGTTGAATCAGAAATGTAATAGCGAATTTTGCATTCCTAATTATTGCACGGGTCTTATGTGACAACCCGTGCTTTTTTTCATTCCACTGGATTGTTACGTCAGATACCGTGCAATAAGACAGTATTGCATGGGCATATTGAATAACCCAGTTATACACAAGGGTTCATATTTAAATCCGTGGCCTTCGACCACGGATATGAACTCGTGTGTAACTAGGTTATTCACTACATACCACATGCAATAATTATAATTTACCGTATTTGCCAGTTATTGTAAAACCTTAATACAAAAATCAAAATCTTTGCGTGTAATAAAGGTTTTATAACTGGCTAAATAGCAAAACCGATTACTTATAACTCTGGTCAAAATTGAAAATCAATTTAGCCAAATTCAGGGGATTTTGATTTCAAATCTGGCCAAATGATCTGCAAGGGTATTTGGAAAGCGATTCATTAAATGTATTACGAAATCAGTAGATAACATAATTGTTTATTAATAAATTCTGATGCTATGCATATTTTGTAGTTGTAAAGGTTAAAGATTCTGATGAATATTGCCTTATTGCTAGTATAGAGGATTTTTTTAAGAATTGTAATGATAGTTTATGTTTAACTAAAAAATAGTAATATATTCTAAATTTTTCGTGTGGCTATGCACCAATATTAACATCAGATTTTAATAAATTTAAATATAAAATTAGATAAACTTCTTATATACGACAATTTCTATTTGTATATTTAATATCTCAAAACCATGATTATAAAACAACTTTTGAGGGTTCTAACAAAAAAATATTTCTTGCAAAATTTTAGTATAACCCTAATCCTAGAGCTACCATACCTTAAGTCGGAGTAATTTTTTTTTTATAGTTTATACATTACACGAATTCATAAATCAATAAATTAGTACCCGTGTATAAACACTATGTGTAAACTAATAAATTTTTATTATACGTATAATTCATTTTGTAATTAATATTTGAAATCTAAAAATAAAGAGAGTTTCAGGATCCCATTTTATAAAACCAGCGTATGAATGTATTGAAAGACTTATAGACTTCTAAGAATGCCACATTTACTAATTATAGGTTCTGGGACATCTGGCAAAAAAATTGACCAGCCGATATTTGCCGATTCGATTAGTTTGTGATTTCGGTAATGACATTACCGAATTAAAACTTATCGAATTGGCAAAGTCAATTTTTTTTTACCAGATGTTTTAGAATTTATGAAAAAGAAATTTGGATATTTGGATTTTTGATAATAAATTATTAATTTTTGAAAATTTGAATTTATATAGTATCCCCAAACCAATTATATATAAATTATTATTTTAATAATCAACCCAGATTCATTCACGTATCCAATTAGAACATCAGGATGTCCAGATGATGTTTTTGAGGACCCCAGATAATCCAAATAAAGCCATGAGTATTAAACAGGAGATTTTTGGGTCAAAATTAAAATTTAATCTTAATTTTGATCAGAATTTAGACGAATTTTTCCCCAAAATGTCCAGTTTAATACTCAGCTTTATTTGAATTATTCGGGTCCAGGTTTTTGCATCCAGATCATATCTCTAGTATGGAATTCCTTTCAACTTAAGCAGATTCAAATTTCCGTTCCAATATACAACATATATATAATGAAATATGAAAGGTATGCTAAGAAAAGAATAAATAGATATTAAAATAATCTAATCGTTAGGTTTATAACTCTGGTCAAATTTGAAGATCGTTCGGCCAAGTTCAGAGTTTTTGATCCCGGATCTGGCTAAATGATCTGTAAATTTGGCTAGAGTTATAAGTAATCGGTTCGGTCACAGTCAAAATTGGCCCTGATGTAACTTGAGAGAAATTTTTGAGGAAATATGAGAATTCCTGATCAAGTATGTGTATATGTGATCTCGTAAGTACGTACGTACATTGTAGGAAGCGAAATAGGAAAATGGATAACATTACAAACACAATACCAAAACTAACCACCCCAACAATGGAGTGGCATGGATAGATTTGTTATGTCTGGGTCTCTTAAAATTTGGAATCACTGGAGTTGGTCACTAATTCATATCGGCATGGAAATTTTATTTATCAAGAAAGGGGAATCAGTACATGTCGAACTCAAGCCAAGTTGTTTTTTATTGAAGGTAAATATCATCTCATCATATACATGATTTTTCATAAACTTAAATTTCATCAAATTTAAAATTCAATAAGTTTTGAAATTCAATAAATTTTGAAAATTTGGTAAATCTCCTAAACCACCCAAATTTCAGAACTATTTTAAATTTTTACAATCCAAAATTTTGAAAACTTTTGGAATTTTAATATCTTTGTCATTTTGCGCAGTTCTGAGAAGTAAGTATGCACGTCCCTATATTGTATCAATTATCGTATCACCACTGATTTTTTTTTAGATTAAGCATTATACAAATTGAAATTCGGCGTTCTTCCTGTGATACAAACTTTATATATTTTTATAATAAAGCTGAAATAGGAATAATTGTATGGTAAATTTCCAAAGCACAAATTTACCAGATTATAGTGTTACAAAGATCATATAATTACAGAAATCTGTTGATAAATTATAGAATTGTGGAACGTGTTCTCAAGAAGAGTGTGACCATTTAAGTTTTTCTCTATGAACAAGTTTTGAAATTATCGTAATTTTATGTGATTTTGTGTAAATTGCTATTATAATCGTAATCTAGAACACACGTAACTGAATGCTCAAGGAAAAATCTTGAATTAAACACTAAGTTGGAAAATATATTCGGCCACATAATATCAACAAAATACTTCCAGAGGCGTTACAATAGTTTATATGTAATTTATAATTATAATTATAAGTTTTTCCTTGAATCCCAAATTAATTTTTCGTTTATACGCAATTTATAATAATATTAAGTTTTTCCTTGAAGCTTGAATTAATTTTGTCACTTAAATGGTTTGATGGTGGTGTTACAATTCAGATCAGTGGACTAAATTAATACTTGCCGAATATTTGTAGTGTCAGTTAGGGATGTTTAATGACTCTACTTTTGAATTGACTCAGAAGTAAAGACGACTTTTTGTTTTGTCTCTCATTTCCTGTATACTTATCACTATGAA